ATATTAATTTTTAGCAATAAAATACGCAAAGCTATGGTAACACGATTAGGATCCTCTACTGTAAATGTGTCTTGCTGTATTCATGTTGCAGTGCAAAAAGGAATATTTTAAAAAAGAATAATTTGTTAGTAAGACGGAAAAAAAAATCACGTTACTGGTAAAAATATTATTGGAAAAAAAAAAACAGAGAGAAAACTACCAAACAGAACCAAAAAAAAAAAAAAATGGAAAACAAAATATTCTGCTTCAGGACCTCTCTCATTGCCGTCTTGTAAAACAATGAAAAATATTTGAAACCAAAGTGACCTGATAATCTAATATGTGAGAGATAAAGTTCATATTTTTGTGGTAGATTTTTTTTTTTCCCCCTAAATTACTCAGATTTAAGTTTGAGAAAAAAAGTTAAAAAGTATTAAGGTAAAGATTATAGGGTCTTGAGGTAAAGATTAAAATTGTTGATAATATATTTAAAAAGTGTTAAGAATAAGATTAAAGCGGTTGATAATAAGATTATTTGAGTTTTCTTTGAAGTCACTATAACACTTTTTAATCTTTTCTCAATACCTTTTAAACTTATTCTCCATTTATTTAATCTTTTTTTCTCAACATCTTTTTTTTGAATCTAACTCCAATTTTTTTCCCTTTCAAAATTCACTCATTTTTCTTTCTTTTTAAAACTTTTTGTTAACTATATATATATATATATTTTAAATTACTCATTGATTGACATATTATTTTGAATAAATTTTTTTTTTTGTCTCTTGAATTATAAAATTTATATTTATTGTAGTGATTATTTGAATTTATTTTTTTCGCCCTTTACCTCTTTAAATTTAATTTCTGACTTCACCCCGTGTATGTGTGTATGTACATATACATACATATATATATATGTGTGTGTGTGTGTGATATTTATATTTTAATTAGTATACACTCTCTACACAATGAGCCACGTATTAGTGGGATCTCAAAGCCCACACTCCACAGGTCTTTGGAGGCAACCTTCCAAATACTATTAATGCAATATCTCTGTATATCTATCTAATTTTCGTATGATGGCACTGGTGTGTCTATTTGGTCCATCTACCCCGTCTCATTCGCCTACCGAGTCCTCCCATGATTGTGACATTTTGTACGCATCCGTTAGATGAGCGACGAAGGATTCAACACTCTTGGCTGCAGAAAACACCGTCTCTAAAATATGTCATAGTTTTATTATTTACTTGATTAGTTTGAGGAGTACTGTCAGCTGTTAATAAAAAAAAAAAATTGTAAGGTGTGATGGATTTTTATAATTTTTTTGTTTTTTGTTCGATGGAGTCGTTTTGAAGTTAGAGTCCTGCAGAATAGAAATAAAGAAAAGTAGAATTCGTCAAATTTTTAAGTTGAGATTGTCATACTTCATGTGAGAAAATTTTCGGTTTAAATTGACAAATTTGGGTGCAAAAACAGTTTTATTATCAGGGTTGTAATTTTTTCTTAATTTTGAATCTTGATAATTCCAGCTAAAAAATAAGTATATCAATAAGTTGATTTGAATGAGAACCTGATCAGTTAAAACATATATGGATGTGACCACACAATGCACACCAAGTTTGATTCTCAAAATATGGTTCTAAATTTGATTTTTCTATTTTCAGAATTTCTCAAATTTACCTTTAACTTAACATTTATTTAATTATTTTATAATTAGACAAAATAATTTCTTATAAGAAGGGTTTTAACGTAATAAGTCATCAATCGGTCATTTATTAACATTTAAGTTTTAAATCTGGTTTTCTTTTTTTTTTTTTTTTTTTTTTTTTTTTGAGGCCACTTTAAAGCAATTTTGTTTCTAATTTATTCAAAATAATATAAATTATATTAGGAGTTGTTCTAAAATGAATTAAAAAAATAATTATATCATTACTGCAATGATTTTTATATCATATATACTGTTATATTATACTACTCTTATACTACTTTGTCATAATAATATTTTTGTTTATAATAATATAATTTTATGCTTAATTGTCATCATATGTATAAGGGTCATTTTTGTTAAAGAAAAACATTGAACACTTCATAATGTGTTCGTATTACTTTAAGATAATCGCTTACACTTCTTTTTAAAATGTCAAAAGGTGTCAATTTAAATGTTGGCAAAGTGTCCAAAAAGTATGACTAAGTATTTAAAATAATAAAATGTAATTTTTATTAATATAATTTATATATATATATACATGAAGTGTCGTTATAGAAATATCAAAAATATATATTGATACGAAATATTCTACTATATAAGAATTTCAAATGACATGAGGACTCAAATGGTATAGATAAGGAATAATTCAAATTCAAATGAGAAATAAGATAAGGGTAAGGGATTTATCCTCCCAAAAATCTGTATAGAATCATAAAAAATCTCGGGTTATCATATATAACGACAGTTACCATTCCATTCCTATAAAAAGGAAACGATATCATTTTGGATCAGGGAAAATCTCCATTCAACAACTATTACCATTAATGTCTCTATAAAAAAAGTGATCGGTCAACCTAAAAAAAGTACTAACTTGACCGTCGGAGTACACCCGGCCGGCATCATGCCGGTCACCATTCCATTCCTATAAAAAGGAAACGATATCATTTTGGATCAGGGAAAATCTCGATTCAACAACTATTACCATTAATGCCTCTATAAAAAAAGTGATCGGTCAACCTAAAAAAAGTACTAACTTGACCGTCGGAATACATCCGGCCGGCACCATGCCGGTCATCACTTCTCTTGTCTCGCAGAAATTGCCAAGAACTCCAAAACATACAGATTCTTGCATATATATATATATATATATATATATATATATATATATAGCACCATCCTTGAAGTATCCATGCTGGTGACGCCATCCTTTCATGGAAACTTCCTTTCCATGACAATAGAAGTCCTTCCAAAGACTTCATTTTTGGTGTGTCAATGCTGGCGCTCTCTTTCCCCGTGTTCTCATCTCCGATAATAATTAATTATAACAAGCTAATTGACAATACTTTTTAAACTTTGAGTTGCTCGTTTTTGACTAATACTTTTTGACTTGTAATTTGAAAAGATTGTAAAGGACAAAATATTATGGTGTAATGAAAAAAAATAATAATAAAAAAAATAAAAAATAGCATGTGCTTGAATTTATGCGTTAGAATTTTTTAGTCAAGATGGGCTTCACTTTAATACATCGGAGCATTAGAAAAATCTCGAGTAAACATTTTTGGTAATTTCATACCGTTTAAAAATAAATAAAAAATATATATTTCTATCCAATAGGAAATCATGCTACCTTTGTTCTTATATATATGCTAAAAGAGAGATGAAAAATATAGTAAAACATTCAGTCCTTCCCTCTAGACTGAGGAAAGACAAAGCTAGATCTCATCATTCTTAATTACTTAATCCAGAGAGAGAAAAAGTATAAGAATTTCAAATGACATGAGAACTCAAATGGTATAGATAAGGAATAATTCTAATTCAAATTCAAATGAGAAATAAGATAAGGGTAAAGGATTTATTCTCCCAAAATTTGTATAGAATTATAAAAAGTGATCGGTCAACCTAAAAAGGTACGTCATAAATTTCATATGTAATTCTGATCGGATATTGAGTCGTCAAGTACTAACTTGACCATCGGAGTACACCCGGCCGGCACCATGCCGGTCATCACTTTTCTTGTCTTGCAGAAATTGCCAAGAGTTCCGAAACATACAGAATCTTGCATCAACATATATATATATATATATATATAGCACCATCCTAGAAGTATCCATGCTGGTGACGCCATCCTTTCATGGAAACTTCCTTTCCATGACAATAGAAGTCCTTCCAAAGACTTCATTTTTGGTGTGTCAATGCTGGCGCTCTCTTTCCCCGTGTTCTCATCTCCAATAATAATTATAACAAGCTAATTGACAATACTTTTTAAACTTTGAGTTGCTCGTTTTTGACTCATACTTTTTGACTTGTAATTTGAAAAGATTGTAAAGGACAAAATATTATGGAGTAATGAAACAAAAAAAAAAAAAAAATAGCATGTGCTTGAATTGATGCGTTAGAATTTTTAAGTCAAGATGGGTTTCACTTTAATACATCGGAGCATTAGAAAAATCTCGAGTAAACATTTTTGATAATTTCATACAGTCTAAAAATAATTATTTAAAAATATATATTTCTATCAAATAGATAATCATGCTACCTTTGTTCTTATATATATATATGCTAAAAAGAGAGATGAAAAATATAGTAAAACATTCAGTCCTTCCCTCTAAACTGAGGAAAGACAAAGCTAGATCTCATCATTCTTAATTACTTGATCCAGAAAGAGAAAAAGGCCTCATAGCTTAGCAAAGGAAGCATCATTTTCAGATATTATGTTTTTTTTACACTAGTTGCGAGACATCCTAAGATACAAGTTGTATCGTGTTCTTATTAGTTCAAAATAAACGGTTAAATTTGTATTAAAAATGTCAAGAAGTGTCGGTCTATATATTGACAAAGTGTCCCAAAAAGTACCGACGAAAAGTCCAAAAAATATCGTCTAAACAACATTCAAAATATGGACTTCTACAGTTATCCGCTGTCACCATCCTTTCATGGCAACTTCCTCTGCATAACAGTAGAAGTCCTTCCGAAGACTTCATTTTGGGTGAGTCAATGTGGGCTCTCTCTCCTCCGTGTTCTGATCTCCAATAATATCACAGAGATGTGGTGTCACCATCCTTTCATGGCAACTTCCTCTGCATAACACTAGTATGGACTGAGATAGCATGTGCTTGAATTTCTAAGTCTAGATAGGTCTCACTTTAAGTCATTCAATGCATTAGAAATTCTCCAATCACCATTTTTGATAATTTCATACAGTCGAAAAATAATTATTTAAAAATAAATAAGTAAATAAATAAAATATATGTCTATCAAATAGATAATCGATCAAGTTACCTTTGTTCCTATATATACGCTAAAAAGAGAGATGAAATATATAGTAAAACAATATTAGTCCTTCCATCTAAACTGAGGAAAGACAAAGCTAGATCTCATCATTCTTAATTACTTGATCCAGAGAGAGAGAGAGAGAGAGAGAGAAAGGCCTCATGGGTTTGCAAAGGAAGCATCTGCATAGGGTGTTGCTATGGTTCTTAGCAGCAGTACTACTAGCAGCAGCAACAGAAGCATCCCAAACAATTCGATCCGATTGTGAAGAATATTGTGGGGATGTAAGCATTCCATACCCGTTTGGCACAAGAGAGGGCTGTTACTTGAATGAAGTTTTCCTAATAACTTGTAACCACAACTTCACCCCTCCCAAACCACAGTTACGAACCTCTGACATCGAGGTCCTAAACATATCCCTTGATGCTCAGGAATTGCGCATTTATACTTCTGTAGCCCGTACTTGTTATGACTCCAGCGGCGGGATAATTAGAAGTAGTACTGCCTTTGTTCGTTTAAATTACTTCCCATTTTCCTATACCCGTAACAAGTTCACTGCTGTTGGTTGTGACACCCTTGCACACGCCGTAGCTCTCCAAGGAGACGACCTTATAAAGACTGGATGTATGTCATTCTGTGCTAGTGCAAATAGTTCAAGTGATGGGGTTTGCTCCGGTATAGGATGCTGCCAAAGCCTCATCCCGGAAGGACTTTTGATTTTTAACAGCAGCGTTCGAGGCCAATCTAACCGCAGCAGGATATGGGAATTCAGTCCATGCAGTTATTCTTTTCTGGTGGAAGAAGATGCTTATAACTTCTCTACAGCCGATCTCAGGGGTCTGCAAAACACAAGTGTTGTTCCCACTGTGCTGGACTGGGCAGTTGGTAATCTAACATGCGAAGAAGCTCAAAAGAACTCATCCAATTATGCATGTCCAAAGCAAAGTGTCTGCAATGAGTCCAGTAATGGTCCAGGGTATCGCTGCAACTGCCCTCAAGGTTACCAAGGAAACCCTTATTTACCTTTGCCCAATGGTTGCCAAGGTATTTTTGACAAGTAAAAACTTTTTTCTGATGTTGCTCAAAACTTCTTTTGTTATGGTCATGCTTTATTATCAGTTTCATCATTTTCAGATATTGATGAATGTGAGGATTCAACCCTGAATAACTGCACCAATAGTTGTCATAACATTCCCGGCAGTTATAAGTGTTCGTGTCCAAAGTGGTATAAAGGGGACGGCAAAAGAGATGGAGAGGGTTGCACTATAGACCCATTATTATTGACAAAGGTGTCGCTCGGTAAGTCTCTATATTTTTACACTGAACAATAATTGCTTCCAACCTTATCAATAGAGAGATAACATTTCCTTACAGTTGGGGCAAGAGATATATATGCAATACCTGTCTTTTTGTAATTTTGAAAACTCCCATGTTATGCATATAGGGCCCTAACCTTCCTTAGCTTTCGGTTGCAAGCTAGGGCCTAGCTTCAGTGTATTTTTTTTTTTTTTTTTTTCCAATAAATGAATAAGGTGTATGATTTGATCATTTTTCATTTGACCACAGTTAATCTGTACAACAGTGTACTTATAATTGCCATCATATTGCTTTCAAATAAGGGTAATTTTTAAATAAAAATTGTTAACTATTATTTGATATTAATATTTTAAATATTAAACTCTCACTTTTAATTTTTTGTTCCTACTTCAAATTATATTGAACGGGTCCTGGCTGCTTGGACAGTCTGGCTTTGGCTTGCTGGTGTTGCTGCTAATGGTATCACCACTAGCAACAAAGACAGCGGTGAAATTTTAGGAAGGCTCATTGCTTATCTCATAATGTACTTCCTCTAGTTTAATGTAGTACAATGTATATAGTACCCCTTATTTATTGTTTCAAGTATCTGAGTTCTGTTTAATTTCAGTGGAAATTATTGTTGTAATTTGCGAAGTAAAAAACACATGCAGGTGGCGCAATGAAACAAAGACCACGGAAGAGTCTGCTTTGGAAATTACATAGTTGTCTTCCCTCTCAAAGAGTCGAATGTAGATGGCATCAAGGTAAATTGGATAGTGACAGAAATAAAAGTGCAAAGAACAACATTTATTAGGGAGTAAAAGTCAAAGAGAAAACTCATAGGATTAAATATGTCCATTTTGCAAGCATTGTTCAAACAGTGCATATTACGTCTCCTACGTACAAAAAAAAAATATAAAATTGATCAATTACGTCCAAGATTACGCATTTTAACTAGATCTATTTTGCAAGCATTGATCAACATTTCAAGATTAAGCAAATATGCTTACCGTGCATATCACATGGTTCACACCCCTCACGTGTCAAAAACAATCCTAAAGTTTAAATTTGTGCAAATAGGTTTAAACCTTAATTTGATTAAATTACCCTTACTGAATCATTTTATAAAATATATAAAAATAAATAATTTTGTAAAATGACCGAAAATGACACTATTGGAGGACGATCCTCGTGTGCAAAAAAACACCCGAAAGTTTCAATTTGGTGCAAATAGATTCCTCTGACAAATTTAAACCCTAAGTCGACTAAATTGGCCTCACTGAACCATTTTATAAAATATATAAAAATAAATAATTTTGTAAATTGATTGAAAATGACACTATTGGAGGACGTCGGCAATGGACAAATAAAGATAAAAATAGTATATATAAAAAATAAAAGTATAAAAGAAAAGTAAAGATAAAAATAATAATAAAAAAAAACAGAAAAGAAAAAGAACACATCATATTATGCATGTGGAGAGAAAAGCCTCAGCAATGAGTCCAATAATGGTCCAGGCTAGGGCATCACTGCAACTGCCCTCAAGGTTACCAAGGAAACCCATATTTGCTTTTGCCCAATCCCTATGGTTGTCAAGATACTTTTGACATTAATTTCATGTTTGGCTAAATAGTTTCACGTAATTAAAACATTCTGTATGCATGCTTGCTTATGTTGCTCAGAAGTTCTTTTGTTATGATGGTCCTAATTAATTATTATCTTTTTCATCATTTTCAGATATTGATGAATGTAAAATATCAACCCTGAATGATTGCACCAATAGTTTTTTTTTTTTTTGAAAGTTAAATTGAATATTGCAATAAAAGGGGAAAGAAGCACTGTCCCAATGAAAGTGAGCCAAAAGCTAACAGGGCCAATGATACAGAGCCCAAAAGACTAGCAGGCCCAGTTGGCCAAACAAAACATAAGAATGTTGATCAAGGCCGTTACAGGCGACAACAAATTTTTCGGTAAACATGGAGCACTCTGCTTCCAAACAGCAAATTCATCATGCTGTGCAATTCGATGGTTTTTGTGGAGGACAAAGGATTTCCATAGGCAAATCCTATTCAGCCGCAGTTCTTCTTGGATCCTTCATGTCCGATGTCCTTGATGTGAGAAGCTTAAATCGCACCAAATCCAAAGTAATGTGAAGAAGTGAGTTTGCAGATATGGATTTCTTTTGGAAAACCCTGCGATTTTGCTCATTCCATATGTTGTAGACGAGGGAAGCAAGGCACATTATGGAGATTGAGTTATTATAAAACGCAGATTTACCTTTCCAATGGAATGATGCCCAGCCAATGAATTGCTCCCATGAAGAAGGTGCAATATGGAACCCATAGCGTGTTTGAATAAATGTCCAAAGGGGTTTTACATAGGGAGAATTGAAAAACAAGTGGTCATGTGTTTCCGACTCATCACCACAAAGGACATATAATGTGGCATTGATGTGTGCTGTGCATCGCCGATTTAATGTGGGGAGTCTATTGCCACCCACAGTGTGAAAGAATACTTGGGAATGGAATGTTTTGACCAAACCATGTGAGTCCATGGGAGGGTTGGCAAGTGGTTATTGAAGTCTTTCATTGTTGAGGCAATGGAGAATAATCCCGAGGGAGAAGGTTTCCAAATGAATTTGTCTTCTCTATAAGAGTTTAGGCTTGGGAGGGATGAGGAGCATTGTAATTGGGGTAGGATAGCTGTAATGGAGTTTGGGAAGTTCCATGTGTTGTTGTCAATGAAGGAACACACTTTTGTTTTGCAATCATAAGTTATTGCAGAGAGCTGTTGTGGTGAAACAAGCTGGAAAAGTGGACCAAGATGGCACCAACTGTCAAACCAAAAATTGGCTGATCTTCCATTGCCAATTTCAAGTTTGACAAGGGGATTGATTGATCCTTTGAGAGCAAGAATCTTCTTCCAACTCCAGGAGCATTGACCAGGTTTCTTTACTTCCCAAATGCATTTTCCCTTTAATAAATAAATATGGATCCACTGAACCCACAACATGTCTTTAGAGTTTAAAATCATTCAGAAATGCTTCACAATGGCAGCCTCATTCCACAATGCAACGTTAGGGAGCCCCAAACCCCTTGATTTCTTAGGGATGCAACATTTTTCCCAATGGACCTTACCCCCAATTTTTTTTAGGGTAGGCCCTGGCCATAAAAAAGATCTAAAAATACGTTCCATCTCATGAATGATACTCATTTGGAAGAATAAACTTTGAACTCCAGAACATTTGTGTTGAGAAAAGCACAGCCTTAATTAATTGTAATCTTCCTGCAAATGATAGGTGGTTACTTGTCCAGTGGCCAATCCTAGATGTGATTCTGTCAATCAAATTCCTGCAGTCCTCAGCTTTCAACATGGAAGTAAACAATGGTATTCCCAAATATCTTATAGGAAGTACCCCCTTTTCTAATCCCAATAGGTTAGTGATGCTTAGCTCCATAGGTTCATTGACACCTGAAACAAAGACTTGACTCTTGGTATGGTTGATTTGAAGTCCAAAGATGGCAGAGACATAATCAAGGGCATGCTTTAGTGTTTGGACAAAGTCTAGGTTGCCATAAGAGAAAAGCATTAAATCATCTGCAAAAATGAGATGGGATAATGATAGTTTCTTGCACCTCTAGTGAAACTTAAAAGGCTTCTCTCTAATTGATTTGTCAATAATGAGGGAGAACACTTGCATGACAATCACAAAAATGAAGGGGGATAGTGGGTCTCCTTGCCTTAGACCCTTAACACTTTTGAAGTGGCCAGTGAGCTTTCCATTAATTGAAATGGAAAAGGTTGGAGTGGTAATACAGGCATGGATCCAATGTATGAAGGTTTGAGGAAAGCCAAACAACTTGAGTGAGTCCAGTAAGAACTCCCAAGACACTAGGTCAATACCCTTTTTAATGTCAATTTTGAGTGCACATCTAGGTGAATTGGTCTGTTTATGGCAACCATTTAGCAGCTCTTGAGCTAGAAGTATATTATCATCAATTTGTCTTCCAGAGATGAAGGCTGATTGGGCTGGTCCAATGATATGAGGCAAGGTAGGTTTGAGTTTATTTGCTAGAAGTTTAGAAATGCACTTGTAGATAGTAGAGCAACAAGAAATAGGCCTATAATCATTGGGGGAGGTGGGGTTAGCTATTTTAGGCACAAGTGTGATAGATGTTGAATTGATCTTCTTAAGGAGTTTTCCTGTGGTGAAAAATTCAGTGATTGCCTTAGTAACATCATGTCCAACAATAGACTATGTCTTCTTGAAAAAATAGGCATTATAGCCATCAGGGTCTGGAGCTTTGTCACTATTAAGTGAGAACATGCATTATTGGATCTCTTCCACAGATGGAACAACACACAATGTGGTAAAAAGTGTGAGGGTAATGAAGCTTGGATGAGGGAAATGAGAGAGTCAGTACCTTGATAGTGATGAGCATTCATCCCTAGGATGGAGTGAAAGTGGGAAACAAACTCCTTTTTGATTGCATGATCAGTATCAAGAAGGACATCAGTTGATGCTTTGATGGTTGAAATTTTGTTCCTGTTTCATCTGGATTTGATGCACTTAATGAAAAAAGTAGTATTGGAATCACCCTCCTTAAGCCATTGTATTCTGGACTTTTGTCCGTAGGTGAGCTCCTCTAAATTCCTAAGGTTGGTATAAAGGGTTAGCAGTGTTTTTCTTGACTTTTAAGAGTGCTGTCATCTGGTGTTTTATCAAGTGTAAGTTGACACTTAGAGAGCAAATCCATGGCAGCTTGAACTTCAGTTTGAATTTCACTCAGTTTGGCCCTTAACTCCAATCTCAGTGGTTTTTTTAAGGGATTTGAGCTTGGAAACAATTTGGAACATGGTAAATCCCTCCACGTATGGTGCCCAAATTGATTAGACAAGTGGTAGAAAATCATCATTGTTGACCTAGTAGTTGAAAAACCTGAATAGAACTCTCTTTGGAGGTGAAGGATTACCATGACTGATAACCATGGGACAGTGGTCAGATATCCTTAGGGCATGGAAATGGCAGTGAGACAAGGGAAAAATTTGGGTCCAAACATCATTGATCAAGACCCTGTCTAATTTCTTAGAAATATTAGCAACCCCTGGACTTTTATTGGACCATGAGTGAAACATCCCAGAGAAATTAAGGTCCTCATGATTAGATTTGCAAAGGCAATTCCTGAAGTCTAACATTGTTTTTGTTGTTTTCTTTGAACCTCCATGATTCTCAGCTGATGACCTGATAATATTGAAATCACCTCCTAGAATCCAAGGTGAGGATGAGAAAATGGTTGAGTGAGAAGATATATTATCCCATAATGATTTTCTTTCAGTGGAGTCAT